CTGTGTGTGTCTGTGTGTGTCTGTGTGTGTCTGTGTGTGTCTGTGTGTGTCTGTGTGTGTGTGTGTGCGTGTGCGCGAATGGATCACAACCTGACAATTGTCAGTGAAAATAGTGAACAGGTTGAGGGATTTAATATTCATGACCTCTGTGGAGTCTTGACAAGTTGCCAGTTTCTGCTTTATGTTTATGCCTGATGTAGGTATGTATAATATGTACTAATACTAGTATGAACAACCCCAATGACACTAGGCTAAAGGACTGGTGATGATGATGACAATGATGATGATGATGATGATGATGATGATGACGATGATGATGATGATGATGACGATGATGATGATGATGATAGATATGGAACAGTATGAGATTCTGAAGGCAGGATAACCTTGAGCAAAACAAATTTTCCGCAGTATTGCTGTAATGAAACAAAATTTGACATGAAAAAATGAAAATTTAAACTATTACCACCTAAGTAATATCACATATTGCTTAATAATGATTATATGTCATGTATAATAGTACACTCTTATCTTTGCATGCACTAATGACATCAGAATCTTTCATTTATAGTTTAAAGTGCCTGTGACTTCAAATTTTTGTAATATATATGAAAGCATTTTTAGATAGAAGACATTGATAAAATATTGCAAGAGAAATTTCATGTCGCTGAGATGAACAGTTGTTGAGATATTTGCCTGTGAAGTAACTCAGAGCTCAGAGCAACAGGTTACAAAAGGGTAGGAAATACTATTACAAAAGAATAAAAAGCTCTGCTTTGTTATTTTGGTTTAAGTCATTTAAACCTTGGGAAAAATATGATGAGAAATTGTTTCGACATTTTATCATTGAGGTATATTGGTAATCAGTCTATATTAAGCCTGAAGATTTTTTCAGTAACGTGCTGTGGTGAGCTTTTCTGCATCATGTGATTTTACATACTCATTAACCKCCAAGATGGCTAAATAACCCAACTTGTTTGGCTAAAAACAAGCTGTCAGAACTAAAAAGATGAGCCATAAAAACACACTTTTTAAAACATTTTTTACATCGTTTTCTAATCCAAAAGGTATTTCACAAAAAAGAATGATTTACCTAAAACATCTGCTGTGAGTCAAAAATTTGTTCTGCGTTTATTGTTAATCCTGTGGAAGTTTGACACGAGTGACGTTGCTTCCCCTCTGCCTCTGTGGTCTGTTCCAGATGTGGATGAGTGTGCAGAAGAAGGATACTGCAGTCAGGGCTGTACCAACACAGAAGGGGGGTTCCAGTGCTGGTGCGTGCAGGGCTATGAGCTTCGACCCGACAAGCGCAGCTGCAAAGCTCTAGGTAAAAAAAAAAACTGCAAAAATAATAATAAATAAAACACTTAAATGCTGACATTTGACCACAAAGAGTCAACAAGGTTTGACCTCCAAATATATGGTTTTATAGTGTTTATACTTGCTAAATCAGTAACTGTATCTGCTTTAGTGCTCTGGGGTCCTGGGTTCAGTCTGAAAGTCTGGACTAGATTTAGGTTTGTTCAAGAGCTAGAGTGCAGCAGCCCATCAATCTGCTGCAGACCAGAGTTAAACACAGGTCAGGACTGCTTGTTAAGCTGCTGCCAGAACCCGCATCTTTTTTTTCTCTCCATTGAGATGAATGCTTGCTAATATTAAACTGTGCATTAGTTCCATTCCTGTCCAACCTGTACCCCACTCCTGCAGGTCCAGAGCCAGTGCTGCTGTTTGCCAATCGCATCGACATCCGTCAAGTTTTGCCACATCGCTCTGAATACACCCTACTGCTCAACAACCTGGAAAACGCGATCGCTCTGGACTTCCATCACAACTTAGAGCTGGTCTTCTGGTCGGATGTGACGTTGGACCGCATCATGAAGGCCAATCTAAATGGCTCTAATGTGGAGGAGGTTGTCTCCACTGGTCTGGAGAGCCCAGGTGGGTGCAGCAGCTAATGGGATGTGGGTTCAGCTGTCAGACAACAGGCTCATTCATCATTTATCTCATTTATTCAACTCTCTGCTTCTCTCTGTCTGACTACTGTCTGACTGCTCTGTTCTCCGTCACTCCATCCATCGCTTGCTTCATTAAGTTCAGCAGAATGAAATAAGTACTGCTCAGACTTTTGCTCGTTTAAGTCTCGTCGTTTGTTGTGTTGTCCTTGTCTGCTTCTTTCGTCTTCCTTCATTTTAATTATTCATGTGCCAGTTGTGCTTTATGCTGGTTTCTTATAACTATTTTTTTATTTTTCCTACTTTAGCCTTTTAACTGTTTTGTGTTGTTCTTTAAAGATATTGTTTGTTTTATGTATAATTTTATTTATAGAAATATACAAAAATCTTTCAATAGATGGATTAAAGATTAAAATTACTGAATAAAAAAAAAAATCACAATTTGTTTTAAATATGCAATTAGATTTCTGCAATTTTCAGGGAAAGATTGTGTTTGTCATCATACTTCAGCTAATGATAGAAGCAAGTTACCTGTTATCATTTTAAACCACGGTGATCCTTTAAAGTGCCTGTGACATCAATTTGTTGTGATAAATGTGATTCCACTTTTGGAAAGACCGCATGGATAACATATTGCAAGAGCAATTTCACACCACTGAGATGGACAATTATTGAGATATTTGCATGTGAAGTGACAGGAAGTGATGTCAAAGGGGAATGCCTGCATTTAAACAGAGCTTTGCTACAACGGCAGACAGCAAGGAGTCTTCTGATGTTTCCTTAGATAATTTTAGTCCCTAAAAGAGACGGATGAAGAAAAGTGAGAGTTCAAATAATATAATTTTAATAAACAAAGACCATTAAGTTTTCTTTGTTAAAGAGTTTCCCTTTGATGTCACTTCCTGTTTCACTTTAGCGGAGCGAAATTCAAAGGAAAATGTGCCAGTTGTGTGACAAAATGGGTTCAATCATATGTTTTATGACAATTTTCCTAAATATGAAGATATTTTCTTTGACTTTTTGTATTTGAAGGATATGTACTGTATGTCACAGGTACTTTAACATAACCAGCATCTACCAGTTTCCAGTTGTCAAAGGGTTTTAYCAAGGATAAAACACAGTTCATCACACAACTTTCTGTTTTACTGCAAGGTTCAATTTTACCCAGGAAGTATTGATTACACTAAATTAGATAAACAGTTTGCTTTAAAAGCACACGAAAAATTGATTTTTCTGTCGGCTACTGTTGATTAGCTGTGGTGGGCATCTTTGAACATTATTGACTTCAAAAGTAAATCAGTTGTAGATGCACATTCAGTATTACTTTCTGAATATTTTATTAAAATCTTTCCAGTGGTYATGAAAGATTGTACTAACAGAGGACCAGAGTTAATKTTTCAGTTTGAAATTTATCTCATCTAATGAGTAGCATTTAGAGTTTGTGTGTGAATGACTCAACTTTTGACAAACTTTTAGCTTATTATCTGTAAAACTGAATGAGTTGTAGCTATTTTTNTACATGCACAAAATTCTTTGATTGGATTGAAATGTATTCGGGTTAAATAATTTGAATGTATCAGATGGGCACAGTCTGATAATGACAAGTGTTTAAATGCACTGCCAATCATTATGTGACATTGACATGTCATTATTTCATTATTTTTTAAGTGTTAATTTTTTTTAAGTTTAAATAAAAGTTCAATAAAAATCCTGTTGTTGAGGTCATTTGCTAACATACGGACAAATCCAAATGGTTAATAACTAAACAAAGAAAATGATTGTGTGTGATATGTTTGCTCTCAATGTATCTGTTGGAAATCAGTTTTCGCTACTACYATACCATATTTTAGCTCATTATCTGTAAATAAGCTTGAGTTGTCACTGTTTTTTATGGTCATTTAATCTGTGGCAGGTTATCCAGTATCAAGTTGACTCCAAAAGTTAATCAGGTGTCTTCAGTGTACTTTCACTGATTACTACAGTATATTCAAATTCATCCAATGGTTCATGAGACATTTTAGTAACAAAGAGTCACACAACACACATAAATGTAATCGTATGCCTTCACCTTTCTTTTCATATTCAGGTGGACTGGCTATAGACTGGATCCATGATAAGCTTTACTGGACAGACTCCGGAACATCCCGGATTGAGGTGGCCAATTTGGACGGAACACACCGTAAGGTGTTACTGTGGCAGAACATGGAGAAGCCCAGAGCCATTGCACTGCACCCCATAGAAGGGTATGTCTCCACACACATAAACACACACACACACACACACACACACACACTCTATAATTCATCACAGACGCTTTCAAATCTACACAAATTCATATATGCATATCCCCTCTGGATGTGTCCCAGTTGTAGTGTGGCAGGAGCAGCGATTAAATTTTGGCAGCATGGCATTACCCACAGGCAAGCATCTGTGTGGAACAAGTATTCCATGAAAGGGACAGCCACTAAGCGTGTTTYCCTCTTTTGTTTCATATTGTGTTGTGGCAGGAGAAAGTTTGCACGAGAGGCCCCAGTGAAATTTAAAAGTGGAAAACTTGTGCAACTTATTTGGAAGCTCATTAGAATGGGCTAATTGAAAACCGGGGAGGGGAAAAAAAAAGTTTGTTATTCCTCCGAGGTTGCACATGCCAGATGAGTGATGATGGGCTGGACTTGAGCGTCGAAGACAAAGGGAACTTGTTAAGTCAAACATCTGTTGTGTCTGAAATCCTGACGACAATCTGTTCTTGTCAGAAACCGCTTAAACGCACTCACACAGCTGACAAAGTTTGAACAACTCATCCGATTTTTTAAAATTTGCTTCTTCAGGAAGATCTACTGGACGGACTGGGGGAACACGCCTCGCATCGAGTACGCCAACATGGACGGCTCAAACCGGCGAGTCATCGCAGACACGCACTTGTTCTGGCCCAACGGGCTCACCATTGATTATGCCAGCCACTGCATATATTGGGTGGACGCCAAGCATCATGTCATCGAAAGAGCTGACCTGGATGGACGCAACCGCAAGGCCGTCATCAGCCAAGGTACTCACTCAGCGGCCTATCTGTTGAAAATAAATCCGGAATTTGAGTTTATGTAACAAAATAGTGAGAACAAAAGTTTTAGATAACCATCTTAATTACCTTTTTAATAACACTCATTGAATTACCCCTGATGACTAGGATTGCCCACCCCAGGTGTAGATGTATCTCATTTGAAACAATCTGGACAAAATGGCACCTTCAGTCATTTGTGAGACTTTTTTCAAGGTTAACTATTTTGAAAGCCTAGGTGTGTATTTAATTTGAAAAATTCCAAAAATGTTTTAACAAATGTGACTGGCCTCGGGAAAACCAGCAACAAATCTCCCTGGGGGTGTTTTGAGTTATTAACATAATCTGAAAGGGTTTGTTCTAAGCTATCCAATGGTGTCAAACACTTGGCAATCAGAAAAAAAAATGAAGAAGATATGGCCATTTGAATGTTGGCAATCTAAACAAGATTACAGAGAAAACACCTCAAAGTTCCAGAGGAATTGTCCCCACCAGAGGGCGCTTTCGGGTGGTGTTAAGAATGGCTGTTCATTTACATTAATTTGCATTAATCCCACCCCTGAGCACTGACTGTCAACACAGGTAGGCTCTAGGAAAGTGCACAGACAAAAGCTCAAAAGACTCACAAGACAGAAGCTTGATTTTTGTAACACCACAAGCATGATTATTATTTAAAAGGTGCATGCAATTATAATCCAAGTCTATTTCACCCCATCATCCTTATCTATGATTAAAATAACAAGTGTCGCACTACCTGCTAAAATGTAAATAGTTGTTTTATTTTGTAAAACAACTTGTTCAACTTTCTAGCAGTTCTAGACCACATTTATCTGGGGGAACAAGATGGGGCCAGTGTTTTTTTCATGGGGGCACACAAGGCAGAAGCATGAAGTGCAAAACCTTCATTTTTATTTTTATTTTATTTTATTTTTGTTTGTTTGTTAAAGTAAAACAGTGACCAGGATCAGTTTTACAGGGGCACTGGCCCTGTTCATTCAGTTTAGGACCACCACTGTTCCCCACTCCTGCAGCTGCAATACGGACTCTCACTGCTGGTCTTGATGCTCAATTCTGACCTGTAGATGTGAACGTTCACATTATATATGAAATGTGACCTCTATCAGACTCCTGTGAACTCTAGATGGSGCTGTTGTGACCTGCATGCGCAGATAATGACATGACGTCCCATTCAGCCGGCTGTTTACAGTTAGCTAAACATGCTATCTGACATGCTTGTTTAGTTCAGTGTTTACATCTGAACTTTCTTCTGACTGGGTGAAGCATTTAGATACGGGACCACGACCAAAGAAAGACTTTACTCTTTGGGTATTTCCTAGACATGGGAAATAAAAAGAAAAAAGGCGAAACAATTGGACTGCTGTTCTAAAGACGTGTGGAGTTACAAGATTTAAACTGGAGGTTAGTGTCTGTCGATCCTTCACCCCCACTCAAATGCTCTGAAACTCATCTTCTGTCACTGTGACGTGCTGTAGCTTAGAGCTGTGGTTCGGTTCTGGAGCTGCGTTCTCGATCCTTCTGATCCGTGTTCGTTAAAAAACAGAACAAAATTGCATTAATAGCTGGTATAAATAGCCATGTGTTTCTTTAATACCTGCAGCTCATTGGCTGAAACCAATAACAAAGGTGTGTTAACAACCAGAGAACAGCTTAACAGAACCAGCGTGTTAATCAACTGTGAGGCTCTCCTCTCCGAAACGCAAATTACCTGTCRGCTGTTTTTACTCTGAAAACWGCCTGAATTCATACACAATGTTAACCATTTTAAAACCTCTGAAACTGCTATTTAAAACATGTGGTGGATTCTTCATAACTTCAACTAGTTTATTTTGCCAAAAAACGAAAATCACTATTTTCTCAGTTTGTGCTTCAGAGACTTGTAGCTGGTTTTCCAGTGGCACGTCCCAAATCTGAATGGCATCGTTATTGCTATTAGACAGGGACCAGCAGGGTTTCTTTCCAAATTAGGGGGGAAAAAAAACAATCATTGATCAAATAATGATTTAAAAAAACAAACTTCTTGCTTTGTTCTCTACAAGACGTCACTGATGGCGTTTAGGTTCAACTCCCAGTTTCTCATTCTAAATTCTCATTTCTCGTGATGCTTGCATGCAAAGCACAGCGAGTTTGTAAAAGATGCACTATAATGACACTACTTCACTCCTCCATGTGGAGTTAATCAGGGTCGTATTTCCATCAAAGAGCGTGCACGTGTTTACCAGTGAAACGCACAAAGCCATAAATAAGAACCAAAAGCTAGATGAATRTCTCTGTTTATGAAGTCGCTTCCTCCAGAGAAGTGTGTGTGTGTGTTTGTTTGGAAATGCAAGCATGAAAGGGTACAGCTCTGATACACACACTTGCACGCACTCCTGCATTTTAAAGGTCAGTAAGGCTCATTTCCCAGGTTTTTGCTGATGGTTTTTGTTGTTTCCTGCTGCGTTTGGGCTCTCTACACTTCTAAGTCAGCAAACAAGCAGCCGGCAGGACACTTTGATCACAGTAGGCTGTTGGTAGAAAAACCAGTTAATTCAACAGTGACACTAGAAACGAGGGCAGTGGCACAAGAATTTATAGCCTCCAAGTTGTTTTTGAGACACAAGCAGACAAAGMGCAGACACGCTTTATGGAAGTGTGAGATAAGACTTTCAGCCCAACACTTGGAACAAATAGGGTTTTTTATGATTGCCGGGTTTGATCTGTTAGGTCATAGTTTGCCATACTTTAGGGGTAACTACGTATTAATTCTTAATACTCCAGTCTGTCTCCACAAGGTTGTGATTAGCCACATTGTGGAACAAACAGCTGTTTTAATCTTGGAGGTTCTTGACCAAAAAAGAAACAAGAATAAATCTTCATGACTTCATGAAAAAAAAMCCTCTAATTTTGAATTTAAAATAACAGAAGCGTTGATGTTTGAGCTAATGGTCTTACGGACAGAGTGGCTTTTAATGTGAAAGTTTTTGTTTTGTTTTTCCATGATGAAGTAGGAGGAGGAGTGTGGAAGCACATCAGTGATTATCAAGGCTGCCAAATAATGGGAAGAAAAGCGACAGCGAGGGAAATGTTTGATGTGAGTGTGTGTGCAAGTCATCAGTCCTGTGAGCTGTCCTTAATGCTGTGTGCTCTGAGGATAAAAGGCTGTAATTGGCCCTGTCCTTGCTCCACAGCTTGTGTTTGCTCAGACAACACACGGGACAAATGGAACTTTGTGTGCGTATGTGTGTGTGTGTGAGAGAGAGAGAGAGAGAGAGAGAGAGAGAGAGAGAGAGAGAGAGAGAGAGAGAGAGGCAGGCCGGCAGGCAGGTTTTATGGTTACACTCTGGAGCTGAAGTGCCCAGGAATGTTAACGAGCATTTATCTCCCTGTACCTACAGTTCTGCATGTGGGTTGTGTGCTGGCTGGATAGGGGCCAGTGGCGCATGGCACAGATGATGCTGCTATCCGGTCTGCACACCTGTGCAGCTGGAGGTGGAGGACAGGTGGTAAAAGGACAGTGTGGTTTCTACACATTAGTGTGATTATTATTTATTTATTAAGTCATTTACTGTGCGAATGGACAAAATTACAAAACGCGTCTGTTGAAAAATGTATGCATTGGTGTGTCAGTGAAACTCTGTCTGCTGCAAAATATAATGTTCACTGACTTTTAATGATGCTGCATACACATGGGACAATCCACCACATTTGTTATTTGGGTTACTTATTTGTATTCATTTTCACTCATTATCACTCAATGGTGAAAGACAAGTGATGTTTCTGCCGCTGTGTTTGTGTGTCTGTTAGCAAAATATAAACCACTGGACACATTTAAATGAAACTTGCAAAAAAGTAGCCACTGTCAATGCAATTCAAGATGGTGGCCACAGCCAGCTGACCTTGAGAAACAAATAATGGCTACAATGCAATACAAAACAACTTTATTTATAAAGCACTTTAAAAACAACACTCTCTGCCAAAGTGCTGGACACTAATAAAACGCATAAAAGCCAACATCAAAACAATTTGTGTGTTAGCATAGCATGGTGAATTGAATGGAAACCAAGTTTTTGGAACATTATTGCAGAGGAAATCCATGTTGGCTGAAAACTGTGGACTGCAACCCAATGATACCTCGTTGATGCTCCTATATCCAGATCTCTGCTTGAGAAATCTGGTGTAGGTCTTTGCTTTATAAAAGTTTGTTTTGACCTTGTGCTCTGTAGTTTGACATCAATAGAAACCCAGTTGAAAAGGTAATAAAATGACTAAAGATGACTGCTGACTTTTCTATTATCCTTTAAACTAAGCAGCTGTCAGTGCAGCTGGAGGGGACGCTGTGTTACTGACGAGCTCGGAAACGAAGCRCGACAGGTTGGGCTAAGGTGCGAGGTGACGGAGTCGCCACGTGTAGGTTAAAGGGGACAAATCTGTGAAGACTCGGTGGGACGTTTGATGTTCCTGTCTGCCTGCAGCTGCTCCTCCAGCTGTCCCGGAAATGTGATGCGGGGTTGGGTTGGGGGCACTGAGATGACAAGAAAGAAGGTGACCGTGTGGAGGATGACTCAGAAGAGGGAAGAAGGTGTTTTGTTTTTCTCCTGTTGGGATAAGATAGAAGAAAAAAAATGCCTGTATCACTTCACTCACACCTGGACCTGTTTGTGGTTGTGGGGGGATGAGAAAACAGAAAATGCTCTTTTGTCATCTTGACTGTCTTTACTGACTATAAACAATGACCGTTTCCCACTCTAACAGGGTTGGCTCTAACAGTTATTACCAAAGTGTGTTGGGGAGGATGTTCAGCTACTACCACATCAGAGTTTAGCTCATTATCAGATTTTAAAATCAGTTTGCTTCTTTAGTCATCATTCATAGGGTTGAGTACAAAAATAGATTACCGGTAGTTGTTGAATAGTTCATGAAATATTTTGCTAACAGACTACAGCTATGTTTRCATGCACACCATTCTTTAATTGGATTGAAATGTATTTAGGTTAAATAATCCAAATATATTGTTTCATGGCCACAAAATGAATTAATCTGATCATGATCGTGTTTCCATGCACCAAGCTTTCATTCAGAAAAGAAGTACTAACGTGCAGAGTTGTAAACTTTCCCTAAAAACCACAAAAGAAGAACACAAAACAATTGTCTGTGTTATCCCTCCAGCTTTTCATGTACTTTTCTAAAAACCACTTTCAGCTATCAAGWTAATTTTGAGTTCAAAAAGAAAAAAATAAGTAGGTCCTCTGGATGGGTTCTTCTTTAGTGAAACGTTTCGTCTCTCCTCCAAGAGACTTCTTCAGTCTGATGAGTTTCAGGTGAACTCAGCCTTATAAGCACTGCCTCCAAATGGACAAACAGGTTAGTCACATGCAAAAGAGGGCCATCGCCTACCAATAGGCTTGATTAGCTCTATTGTTCATGGAGAGTCTTGTGCCCCATCACCTGACCCGTGTCGTGTTATGTGTATGTAGTGAATGCAAGCGGGGGTTCAACATCCCCTTGTTTTTGTCCCTCTTTTGTGTTGGTATCATTGGGGCCCTGGTTCACACYTTTTGCTCACTGGGGGCTGAGTCATACTTGCAATAACAGCRTTGTAGGAACGTTTCACTAAAGAAGAACCCATCCAGAGGACCCGTTTATTTTTTCTTTTTGATTTTTTTTTCCAACTGGATTACTGAGGTGCATCAGGACATAATTTTGAGTTCTTTCAAAGATTCTTATAGAAATATTGTATTGCTAACAGACTAATTTTGCTTCCTGGACACATTAGCATTTAGCCAGCCAGAAATGCACCATGTTGACATGGGGTGCACATTCACAGTTTGGCCAGTTTTCCAAAACAAGAATAACACGATCAGAATAAGTGTTTACGTGCACTCTGTTTGGATTATCAATTGGCATAAACCACCGAATTGCAAATTCATTCCGATCGAGCTGAATCAGATCAAAATGTTTCAATTGGGGGCGTTTATTCTCATTACTTGTCCATGTCAGCATGGCTACTGAGACACAGACAAAACCAGCATGGCTTTGCCTTTGTCAACTTTCTTCTTCTGTAGTTAGCAAAGGTGCATTTTTGATTTTATTCTTCTGGAGTTGAGCTTACACTTGAGTACACAAACACTGCTCTGATTCTTATGGTTCATTATCATTCCAGTCTCATTCCAGTTGAGGCCATTTACCAATTGACATTTATGTTAGGCTGTAAAACACTCGTTAAGCGAGCAGCGCTGTTTTGAAAAGCCAAGCACCACCACGGCTCGAGGAGAAGAAATCACTTTTTCCATCCATTCAGCGCTTCCAATCCAACTGCATTTTTTTCCTCCTGCTTTACTGGAGAAGGACCAAGGGAAAGATCATGTTGAACAAGTATGGTGGAAGATCCAGGCTGAGCAGATGTTCTCACTGTGGACGTGTTTGTGTGCACATCCTATGTTTATTTAAATCCAGCGTTAGGTAATAATACAAGTCCGCTATTTGTGTAACTGCAGACTTGGATAAAAATGTCCCAGGCAGTCAGCTTTAAGACCCTTAAGCAATCAGTGAGGTTCTCACATGTAAACATTGTTATCTCACAGGCAAAGTACAATAAATAATAAACAATCCTGATATTTACATAGTCTCCAGTTTTTTCCCCTCAGGTTMAAAATGTGCTAGGCAGATTTTCAGACATATTCTCTTTAAATTTAACTATGAAAAGTGTTCTTTCTGTTATTCTTATTATACTTAGTTTTCTTTTAAATAATGTATATTGCTGTCTGCTTTTTATGCCATTGTTTTAGATTTAGTTAGTTTTATGTTGAGAAGTGATGAAATTATAGCTATTTTTTCAATTCTAAAGAATACCATTATGCACACTAATGTAACAGTTTGAGTGAGTAGACTTCCTAAAGTAAATGGCTAAATGGATGATTTGCTAAGAGAAAAAGTGGGTCGACACCAACAGGTAATGACAATGTATGTAGCAAAATACATAGTGTTCATATTTGTTGGGGACTATGCTCAGCTAGAACCACTCCCARTTTTATTTCAATATCTGTAAAACTGGCTGAGTTATAGCCATGTTTGTGCAAAGTTCAGTTAGCTGTGGTGGCCATCTTGAATTGGGCCGACTCTTAAAAGTTAATAAGTCATAGTAGATGTACATCATTGATGGTACATGATTACTTYCTAAAAGTTTCATTACAATCCAGCCAGTGGTTCATGATATTTTGCTAAAAGAGTTGATTTTTAAACATAATAAATATAAAGTTGTACAAAGTTTTAMCATGGATTGGACAGAATCAGTCAGCATTCAGATTATCAGTTGGGGCTGACTCTCAGTTACTACCACCCCAAATTTTAGCTCAGTATCTGTAAATATGACTGAACTATAGCTGTGCATGTGTTTGCTGAAGTTAATCAAATTTAACTTTCATTTCAACCCTCTGGTTACTTTCTGAAAGTTAAAATACTATTGTTCAGTGATTGAGTAGATATTTTGCTAATGGTACAAAAAAAAAACATTATTGCTCCACTTTTGCATTTTGGCAGGAGATAAAAGCACTTGCAAAATGTTTTAGGATGACAGAATTCCTCATATTTGTAAACACTTTTGACACTTGTTTTTTTTTTAATCGTTATAAAAAAAAACCTGCATGAAATCCCTGTTGTTCACCATTAAACATACATTGGTACAGTTACAGGAACACTTTTATTATCCTTTTTTTAGGTTGAAAGCATATATAATGTGCACACTGTTTGTACATTAAAGATAAAATCTGGGATATATTCCTGTCGAGATTACAATCTTCCATTAAAATCTRCAATATTAAAAACAATCTGTCATTGTGGGCCTAAATAGAAGAGACCATTGTTTGTCTAGAACTCAACCTAAAWGTTTCCACTTGATGTCCCATTCAGATTTTGGATAGGAAAGTGAGATTATGCATGGGAAACCATGGGYGCGCCTTTTGTTTGGAGTTTCATTGACCACAATTAAAGCAGCCACAGGCAGGCCAGATGAGAGGCAGAGTAATTGAAAGCAGCTCTGCATGAAGACAGGATGACATCAGTCAAGACCACAGTGCTGAATAAGAAAATGTTGAGAGAGTGTTGGTGACACGAGCCAAAAATAGGATCTTTCCTTTACTTGTGTGATGACTTAAATGTGACACCCAGGATTGTTATTTAGGCCCAATATAAAGTTGATGAACTTAGCATTTGTGCTTGTTTACTTTTATAAATACCCTTTCTAAAAAAAAGCATTTTGTTTTATTGATTTGTATTTTTCTTTCTTTGCCACTTCGTTTAACACTTTGCTTACTTTCATATTTTTATTTGGTCTCCATGTTTTTAGGCCTGCCTCATCCATTTGCCATCACAGTGTTTGAGGACAGCCTCTACTGGACCGACTGGCACACCAAGAGCATAAACAGCGCCAACAAATTCACCGGCAAGAACCAGGAGGTTATCCGGAACAAGCTGCACTTCCCCATGGACATCCACACCCTGCACCCACAGCGACAGCCTGCAGGTCAGTACACAGCTGAATTCCCCCTGTTTACTCTGTAACATATTTGATGGCTTGAATCAGACACTCATCGTGTTGTAAACAGCAGTAAATCTACAAGGCAATTGATTAATATTGTGTATTTCTGGATTAGTTGTTGGTCAAAAACTTTGTGGGTGCTTTAGGATTAGGATTAATTATGTTTATGTCTTAATTGGTTTAAAAGATGTTTCACAACCTTCTGTTAAATATATAAAAAGATGACGGTAAAAACACAATATACTCACAGCCAGTGTCTAACTGTTGGAGACCATTGACGGACTCTAAATTGTGAGAAAATTGGATGAAAACGTGAAATCTACATTTCAGTCTGTTTTTTTTTTTTTTTTTTTTTTTTTTTTTTTTTTTTTTTTTTTTTTTTTTTTTGAGTGTTTGTAATGAGCACGCTATATTAACACAGTTTTTTAACCAAAGCCTTTTTTCATGTTCAGATCTGTATTCTGGGTTGTGTGTATTGTTTCAAAGCCCGCTTCTTCCTACATCAAACCCATCTCCGCTCACTTTGTAACCGCCTTGGCAACCGCCTCCTTGTTTATGATCTAATGTGCTGTAGTTAGCTGTTGAAAGAAGATGGGCAGATGTGTGTCATCGGTGTGATGAGAGTCAGAGCTGTAACATGAGACATTTTGTCAGTCTCTAGAATCATGGAAAACTAAATTGGGAAAGGTTCAAGACACACTTGGTAACCCTGCCGACAAAAACGGGTTCAAAATTCAAGAAAACAAAAGAGTAAACCTTAGCAACTCACACACGGAAATAAAGGAACCATGTAAAGGTTTCAAGAGCATTTGGAGACGATTGCAACCCAGTGGTATACTGAAGTCAACATTATTAAGAAAATACTTCTATATTCAGCTACTTACTTCTCATACTTAACCCATGCCCCCCTGTACATTAGCCAGAATTGCACTTCTTGTTTACTACTCCTGGTAACGATTAATTAATTAATAATTGGGTCAATTATTTAAACAGAYATTTGTGGTATTTACTAAAGTGTCAGAATCTTGCACACAAACAAAAAATCACTGTAGCTACTGTCTACTGAAAGCAAGAATCTCAGATCTCCCAGGAGGAAAGAAATCCTTTTTTATGCTCCTTCCTTATTTTCTGTGAAAGAGCAGCATCTGCTGTGATGCTTACTCTTCTGATAAAACCTCACTTTAATTTGATACAAGAGGATTTTAACAGAACTTGTAATTGCTGAGGAACACTCAGGTTTATTCTAGTAATTTTTGAGCAGGTTGTTTTAAGTAGGTGTTTCAGGTTTGTAGGTTCTAAATGAGCTTTATCAYTTGGCTGTGCTTCTGTTTGTTTTGTGACAGCCGAGAGTTTTTGTAATGTAATTTGCAACTTTAGGCAAATTCTTGGTTGGCAGCTTTAAGCAGAATGTGAGGGAAAGAGRATATATATTTTAATATCAAAACAAAGTAGTTTCAACACAATGAAGACATTCTAAAGTGAAAACTCACCTCACTCTGTGGTAAACGCACAGATAAAAGAGTGATTTGTTGTCCTGGTGTTAGACCCTGTGGTGAACTGGCCAGTTGAGTAGTGTTCATCAGTGTGACAGCAAAGGCTTGTGTTCTTTCATAACAAACYATGTTGCAGTTGACATACGACCAAGAGAAAGTTTGGGTTTTCATACGGATGAAAAATATTGTAACAGTCTGACACTAATATGAACTGTGAGGTGCCTCTGTGCTGCCAGCGGGAGGTCAGGCACTGATCCATTTGTTTTAGCTGTGAGCCTGTCAGTCATGTGAGCTCATGTCTGTGGAAGTGCCTGAACAAGGGAGACGCTTTAGTTCTGTTGGTGTGTGAGATGTGAAGGAAGTGTGCTGACTACAGGAACCATGTGTTTCAACCTGAGATGCAAATGATTTGGATTTATTCCTAACAGCGTACAAAGTCAGAGTCACTATCAAAGGCCATAAAGCAGAACAAGTCCTACAAAAGGTACAAAACAAGATCATCATTAAACCAAGGAAGAGGTTTCTGGTTTTAACTTTGGTATTTTTGCATTGTAAGGCCCAGCATGGCCTGGCCTGGCAATGGTTGTGTTTATTGCTGCCACAATGCGGGTGGGGATAATCAAATGAAAAATGTGAAAATCTTTATGTGATTTCATTTTATTTGCGACAACAATGGATGACATCAAGCTTGTGGCACTTCTCTTTGTTCTCTATATAATTCAAGACCAGCTGAAACAGAGACCGAGACCACGTCTAATCCGCCCCAGCAGCCCGGCCTGAACAGAACCCCAGGTCTCTGGGTTCCAGAAGCCAGGCTGGAAGAGGGCCAAAACTGMAAATGCAAATACTCTCAGCCATGCCAGGCCTTACTATGTAAAAATGCCATGACACATGCAGGCTAACCCTCTTCCAGTGGCTAACTAATTTGAACCTTCATGCATGTRACCAAAACATCRCATGTGGATCAGGTCAACAAAGACCTAAACGATGATTTCAGCTTGCATAAACAGCATTTCACTATAGTTTTAAAGTTTGGAACTTTGTACATTCCAGATACAAATGAGAAAAATTGATGGATTAGAAGCAAAATGTCTCATAAAACAACAAAAGAAGTCAAGTTGCCTATAGAAAGAGAAACTTTGTAATATTTCCATATCCTTGATAATGAAGAATCTACACCAAAATGCATGAAATTAGGTTCTATGCAATATGGAAAAGTATGAAAATATATTGAATTGGCTTTTTTCTTTATACGTATCCAGACTTTGAAAATGCAAAAYGTCTGGAAAAAACACTTATCTTTCCAGCTTTATTTCCATATCTTGTTTTGTAAAAGCTAAAAATCAGAATTGCTGAAAATAACTTACTCAACTACTTTTTACATTGAGTTTTTTTATAACAACATACGATATTGTGAATTTTAGTTGAAACTGTGAAATGTTTGGCATACCAATTAAACTTTAGAAATCTGCTAAATAAACAAAAAATTACCTTTTATGTAGCACGTACTACGAGATTTTCATCATGCATTGTGTGTGTGAGAGAGAAATTAATGTTCTTGTATTACTCAACATAAAATGATCTTAGTCTAAAGTTTTAGGCCTGAAAGGTGGTGTGTCATAAGCAGTCCTTTAAAGAATATGAGGCCCTTCATTTTAAAAGGCACCTTGCATTTAAGAAGACTGAGAATTTGAAGGCTATAACCCTRATATAAAATTTGTTTCCAGTTTATCTTCTGTTTACAGTCTGTACTGTACAGAAATAAACCTTTGTTTTGTTGTTGTAGTCATCAAAAATGAAACACAAACTGGTTGAGAAATCCTAAAGTCTCACCCTGGAAAAGTCTGCTATTTTAACATGGGAAATGTTCAGTATCCAGGATAAAATGATTGGACGATTTTACCAAATGTGCTTTTTCTGTGGAGATTTTTAAAGCTAAGCTACAGACCCACTTGTTCACTCTGTTTTTTGTGCATTAACCCTGCATTTATATTCCAGCAAAACTCATTGGGCCTCATGCAAGAACCGTTCGTACGCACAGATTTGTTCTTAAATTGTGCGTACGAGTGATTTAGGAT